TATTTCTACAACTCATGTCGTAAGTGAAAAATTAAACCATAAAAGCTTGAATTTACTATTTTTACTCAACTGGTGAAACGTTTGCTGTTTAAATTTGTAAACACAAGTCAGCTGACCAATCAGCTGATTTTAACTTCTCAAAGTGAATTAGATTCCATTGTAAACAGCCGCCATCTAGCGGTAAAACAAATTCAATAATTGATTGACCACCGACGACAAGATAAAAAGCATGCCTTTGTATAATAATAGTGCAGTTACAATACAATAGATGGCGATAACTAAAAATTAAAAACTATTTTAATTTATTTTACAAAAGGAAGAAAATACTACAAAATGTCGAAAAATTGTTTTAAATGCAGGGAAGAAATAACAAAACGAGACTTTATTGAATGTCCCAAATGTAAGAATTTCTTTCACTTAGACTGCACAAGTATAGGAGAAAAATTTTTCTTCTTACTAGATGTCGAAAAAAGAAAAAAATGCCTATGCGATTATTGTAAATACCAAAAACTGCCAAATTTTGATCAACTAAATATAAATATACCTACAACTAACTCCTTTGATGTACTAGACGTGGATGATGAGTACGCAGAATTTGTAACCTTTCGTCAGAAAAATAAAAAACTACCTGAATCACTACCAGATTTTTCAGACTCATTTATGTCTACTAATACACACTCTCGTTCATTAAATTTACAAAAAACCTCTCGCAGTCTACCAGATGACGACTTAAGAGACTGCTTGATGATACAAGAGTTAAAAGAAGAAGTTTTAAGACTACGAACAGAACTAATCATAGCAAACAAAGAGGTAGATAATTTAAATATTACGATTAGGAAACTTAACAAAAAAATTTTAGAACAAGAAAAAATTATAAAAATTTACAAAACTGTTAGTATCGATGACGTAAAATTGAGAAAACCAGCTAATAATTCATATAACTCAACGCCTTTAAGTAAACCCAAAAAACAAAAAACAAAAAGTTTCAAGCCTGATACACGCCATAGTTCCGGATGTGTTGAACAAATAAAGCTTAAAGAAACATTGCCTGCTACTCAACCTGAAAAAATTGTGAACGATAGAAGCCGTTTTTACGCCGAATCTCTAGCCTCAAAAACTAAGACTAGTGAAGGAACTTGCAAGTACTCTCCGAATAGGAAACTGTGCATCATCAGCAGCATTCGCAGCAATAAAATGGCAGCCACACTAAGAAACCACTTCGAGACGCAAAACATCTGCCACTACCGCATAACAGGAGGTGGTATTAACCAACTATTAAGTGGTCTACAAACAAAACTTGAAGATTACACCCTTAATGACTATTGTATTTTGATTGTAGGTGAAACTGATTTTAATGTTTCCAAAAATTATAATGAATTAGTTTTGAATATAAGAAAAGCCCTTTTAACCGTTCAGCACACAAATATTTTGATATGCCTGCCCACTTTTAAATTTTGTAACCAATCAAATATATATAATAAAAGAATTGAAACCTTTAATAACTTATTATACTCTGATAATATTAATTTTGAATACTGTTACATTTTAGACTCAAATAAAAATTTAGAGTATTCCACTCATATGTTCTCAATATATAATGGAAAATTAAATAAACTCGGATTAAAGACCTATTTGCACGACATTGACGAATTCATAACAATATTTGACGATCTAACATTCAGTGAAAATCGACGAATGGAAAATATCTCTAATCTGGAAGTAATAACGTGTCAAGAAAATAGAACTGACTCACAGAAGTCTTCCTTTCGCCCCTAAATACTACAAAATTATGTATCAAAACATTCAATGTCTTTCCAACAAAATTGACGACTTAAACTTATTATTAATGGAAGTTAATATAGATCTATTAATCGTAAGTGAACATTGGTTATTACCTATTAACTATCATTTTTACACATTAGAGGGCTACGAACTACGTGCGAAGTATTTACGGCAAAAACATATACACGGTGGGGTTGGTATCTTTGTTAGAGAAAATATGAAAACTAAAGAACGTTTAGACATTCAATCATTCACAGTAGAATTTATCATAGAATTGTGTGCGTTGGAGATTACCGAATCCAACTTATTGATTGTGGCCATTTATCGCTGTGAGAGGGAAATAGAAACATTTTTCATTCAAATGCAAGCTTTACTACACCACTTATCTAAAAATTCTCATAACAAAAAAATTATCATAGCGGGTGATATAAATATTGATATTACAAAGAACACAAAAATATCTCGTAGACTTATCAATCTTTTAAAATCATTCGGGTTACGCTGTCTTATAGACACCCCCACACGTGAGACCCAAAACTGTAAATCATGCATTGACCAATTTATAATTTCTAAAAATACATACATGACGGCTTTTGTACAAAACTATGACTTATCAGACCATCACACATTAATTGGACAAATACCAGTAAAAGAGAACATAAATAGAAAAAATATTACTTATAAAATAAACAAACGACTTTTTAATGAAAATAATATGAATAATTTCAGAATTAAACTAAATGAAATTAATTGGAGTAACATAATGACCCGAACGAGTGATATAAATACAAACTATAATAAATTCCAGAACCAAATCACATCTATTTTAGAAGAGCATATTCCACGAAAATTTTATAAATTACAAAATAAAGTGAAGACAAAATGGGCCACAAAAGGCATTAAAAAATGTTGTCATAACAAACGTTTTTTACGTTATCTTACGAACTACCACAATAACGAAGCCTTAAAATCTTATTTAAAAAATTACAGCAAAATATTAAAGAGAATAATAGCCACAGAAAAAAGAAAATCGTACATAAAAAGACTGCAAACGTCACGTAATAAATATAAAACTATGTGGGCTATGATTAATGAAAAAATTAAAAAATGTAAAAGTGTAAAACATGAAAACATTTATTTATGTAATGACGGGTTAAAAACATCTCCTAGTAAAGTTGCAAACATATTTAATAATTATTATATAACCATAAATTCAAAAAACTGCTGCTCTCTAAATAAACAGCCATCTCGAGTATCCTTACCAAATTCACTATATCTGGGTAGTGTTACAGAGGCTGATGTAAAAAGGGCAATAATGCTACTTAAAAGAAACAACTCTTGTGGATATGATGAAATCCCAGCTACCTTACTGATATATTGCGTAGATGAGTTCGTAAAACCCTTAACTTTTCTTATAAATCAATCGTATGAGGATGGCGTTTTTCCGGAAAATCTAAAATTAGCAGTGATAAAACCGGTTTTTAAAAAAGGAGATAGAACTAATGTGTCTAATTATCGCCCCATCGCATTACTGCCTGTAATTTCGAAAATTTTTGAGAGTATAATTTGTAGTACAATATATAATTTTTTTGAAAAATACAACATTTTTAATAGATATCAACATGGTTTCCGAAAAAAACATTCTACCACATCCGCTGTATTTGACATCATCTTAGAAATTCATAATGCTCTAAATGAGGGAAGATGTGCTGTAGCTATTTTTATGGACATGTCCAAAGCATACGATCGCGTTTTGCATGGTCCCTTGCTAGAAAAGCTATATTCTCTAGGAATACGAGGGAAACCGCACGAGTGGCTCTCTTCTTATCTTGCGAATAGAAAACAGTACGTACAGATATCCCATTTAAATGAAAATAGAAGAATAATAAATGAAATAAACTCATACACTACCACAGTAAAAGGATCTATACCACAGGGTAGCGTCCTAGGATGCTTGCTGTTCTCTACATATATTAACGAACTCCCTTCAGTAATACCACATAGAGTCGTTTTGTTTGCAGACGACGCGACAGTTATAATTACTTGTGAACAAAAAAATCTCACTAGTTTACAGGAAAATATAGCTTACTGCCTTAGCAAAATTGTGGATGAATTGGACGTTTTGGGTTTATTGTTAAATTTTGAAAAGACAAAATTAATGCAGTTTCGCCCATATCAGAGACTAGAAGTCCCACTCGCTATATCTTACCAAGGTATAAATATTGAGGAAGTTCGCACGTTTTCGCTCCTAGGGATAACAATAGACTCAACTTTTTCATGGAAAAAGCATATAGAGAGCGTAGTAAGTAAGTTGAGCAGTTTTTGCTATGCCTTGCGCGAGCTGCGTAAAGACACAAACGAGCAGTGTGCGCTTACTGCGTACCACAGCCACGCCGCTGCCTGGATCAGATATGGCATCATATTCTGGGGCAATTCTACCGAGGTGCACGCGGTATCCGTGCTCCAAAAACGTTGCCTTAGAATAATTGCATTCGTAGCTCCAAGAGATTCATGTCGAAAGTTGTTCCCTAAATTCAACTTATTAACTGTGACGTGCATTTATATTTTTGAATTATGCCGCTTTGTTAGGAAAAGTCCTCATTATTTTCAACGAATTGGGGATAGACCCAATCGATATGGCGCACGTCACCGTGGTTATAACCTGGTCGCTCCTACCGCACATCTAACAATATTTAAAAATGGTCCCTACTACATGGCAATAAAGGTTTACAACCATTTACCAAATAATATAAAAGCCCTCCAGTGTCGTAAATTTGAAATAGTACTTAAGAAAATGCTTATTGTAAAAAGCTATTATAACTTAAATGAATATTTTAATGACAAATTATAAATTTAAATTATTTTGACAAAATTTATTATTTCTATTTACTTAAATGACATTACTAATATTTTCATCAAAGTTTTAAATCTTATTTATATGAATTAAAATAACCAATAGTTAAGATGAAATATTTATTGACATTTCATTTTAAATAAATGTGTGTATTATTTATTTAGTTTGATATTTAATAAATTAATTAATAATAATGTATAGATTATGTACCTTAAAAATTGTAATTTAATTTAATTTCATATTAATTAACAATTAAAATAGATCTTAATATGCTACGCCCGTACAGGGTTGTCACATGCTCTGTAGACATATTGTAACAACTTTATACTTTGTGACATGCAATAAATGAATTATGAATTATGAATTATGAATTATGAATACTATTACTATCTAAATGTATGCACAGTTTCTTATTCAATTTAGTTCTATTTATATAATGTTCACCCTGAATAAGTCTTATAAGTATATTTTTAGCTTCTTCGAATTCATCATTGCTTATATAAGCTATACTAAACATTCGTCGCCTTCTCCATCGGAATATCCAAGCTACTACACGTACAATTCTTGAATACTTAGAAAAGTATAAAAGCTTCTCGCTAAAATGTTCAGTATCTACATTAGTATTTACAAGTACCTCCTTCTTTGCTTCTATGGAAACAGCGTTCTCATCTACTGCGATGTGATTAGACTGAGGCCACAGTTCTTGGTCAGATAATAGCCAAGCAGGGCCATCCCACCAGTGACTGTCCATTAATGTCTTCATATTACAGCCACGTGACATTAGGTCTGCCGGATTGCAGTGGCCCGGTACGTGCCGCCAATGTTCCTTCTTAGTGTGAGCACAAATTTCACTTACCCTATTGCTCACAAACGGCTTCCAAGAACACTGTCTTTGGATCCAGGCTAACACAACGGCGGAGTCTGTCCAACAATATAACGGGCAGGTGTCGTCGGTAAACAACGTTCTACTTATCTCATTTGCAAGCCGCGATGCAATAAGCGCTCCCATTAGCTCCAATCTAGGTAAAGTTATTGATCTTTTAATTGGCGCTACTCTACTTTTGGCCATAACCAGCCTAATCGTTACTTTACTTTTGCATTCGGTCCGAAGAAAGACACAACCTGCACAAGCATTAATAGATGCGTCACAAAACAAATGTAAACTTTTGTTACAGTTCGTCAACCTCTCCTCTGATAAGCGTCTCGGCAACTTGCAATCATTTATCAGATGAACATGATTTAGCCAACTCTTAAATTCCTTCGATAACTCGTTGCTGATAGCTTGATCCCAACCTGTACTACCTATCCAAGCCTTTTGTACTATTAGTTTAGGCACTAGGGTAACAGGTGCAAGAAATCCAATAGGGTCAAATATCTGCTGAGTTAATGAAAAAAGATCTCTCTTCGTGATCCGATCTGGTATAGTGCTACTAAGACGGAAACTACACTGTAATTCGTCCGTAAGAGTATTCCATAGCACTCCTAATACAGATTGAGTCTGGACAGTGTTATCTACTCTAATAGGAGCGGTAACCCAACATCGTAAATCAAAACCTCCCTTTAGCATAACTTCCTTAGCTTCGTCTATAAAAGTAAATAAAGCCTCTTTTGTATCAAAACTAGCTACACAATTATCAACATAAAAGGAGTGTTTCAAAATTTCAACTGTCTGACCGTACATTCCTTCAAAATTGCCTAAGTGATAATTAATCGTAGCCGCCAAGAGAAACGGACTACAAGTCACCCCAAATACTACTCTCTTATGTCTGAAAGTGACTATCTTCTCTTTGGTCAACGGATTCTCCCACCACAGAAACTTTATATACTCTCTATCTTTTTCTGAAACTAAAATTTGCAGAAAGGCTACTTTATATCCGACGTGACGCCGTACGTACCTTTCCTAAAGTTCATCAATAATTTAGGGATTAGTTCTATAAGATTGGTACCCGATTCGATGCAGTTATTCAAAGACAATCCTTGCGCATCTTTACACGATGCGTCGAATACTGGACGTATCTTCGTTGTAGTCCTAGACATCTTAATGACTGCGTGATGAGGAATAAAGTGTCCTTCTGCTATATTGTTTTCAGTATGTTCTATAATATCTTCGTCTAACCAATTCTGAAAAACATCGTTATAACTTAGCAAATGACCAGTCCTCTCTAACTTCCTAGTCGTCGTTAAAAGTCTTTTATAAGCTACATTATAATTACTGCCTATTTCGGGGTAACCATCTTTCCACAAAAACCCTACTTGGTAACAATTGTCTTTAAAACTAATATTCTGCTCAAATTGACTCATTACCTCTTCTTTTTTCCTATCTTTGCACATCTGTTCATGTGGCTCTGAAATCCCTAATATCTCTAAATCCCACAAATCTGAAAATTTACTCTGAGCGTGACAATTGAAAGCCATTGAGCATTGTGCAGCACTATAAAAGTTAGGGCCCTGTAATGTCCATCCTAGCCTCGTCTTAATAGCTACTAAAGGCCCATCTAATTGTACAATAGTGCCTGTTACGGCCTACGGCTGCTCTCTTAAAGGATCAGACCTTCAGGGGCCCATGAGCTGAAGACCTCTCGAGCAGACGTAGGTCGGGCCTCCTAAGGCCACGTGGAATCTCTCTAATTACTCTAAAATATATGGGGGAGAGTTATCCTACGGACAGTCGACCGGAAGGAATTTGGCGGAGTTCACTTACCTCTATCCAAGGCGACTGGTCCCTCCGGAGTCGGTCAGGTCGCATGTGGTTGTGTAGTGCAAGGGAAAGAATGGTGATGTGGTGTGTATCTGGGTGTGACTGATGGTGATTGAACCTAGACCTTAGCCGTCGGCAGCAGCCCGAGCGTCGACACCGCTCCAACTTGAGGGGGCCTTTCGAGGTTATCCACAGTCACTTTCTTGGTTCACCACGATGACAGTCACTTAACTCTATCGTACTATTAACTAGCTTACCGAAGCCACTAACTATCGCGGGGTATAAGGTTACCGCACAAAACACGCCCGGAGTTTCTGGGTCAAAGGTTACTACCGGTTCGCGTGGCAACAGATAGTTCTAAATACGGAGGCCGCACTAGCTTATATTGTCGAATGCACTTATACAGATTCTGAGTCGGACCCAATAAGTCCCGGGAAAGGCTATCCAAACAGGGAATGCGCGTTATAATTCCTAGACAGGATATTTACTAGACGCCCTAACTATTCCGCGGTTCCCGCACAAAATTAACAGCGTGCAAACATTAGCACATCTGGCCGATGACTGACTCGCTTGCGACCCGCGCGCCACTGCCACGCTCGGAAGAACTTCAAACCGGAATCGCGCCGAGCCGAGTGACATCTGGTGTCGATTCCGACAACAGAGTTTTGCGCGAACAGTGCCCGTACAGATTACTCCTAAATAATCAGCTCCTATTAACATATTTACATCGCTAAGGTCACAGTCACTGTCGTCAATACTTATATTCAGTGACTTTAACTTTGACCTTAGCTTGGGATCGTCTGCTTTGGGAAGATAGCCACAAATGTCGTCGAGTTCAAGAGCAATGAATTTTGTAGAGAAAGAAGAATCTAGACTACTTACATTCACTTCGACTAGACTGTGGTTTTCTGCTGGCTTAGTTGTCACTAAATAGTGAATAACCTAAATTCTCTATACCTACTACCTTAAGGCCTAACTCTTTTACTAAGTTTTTCCTAATATACGACCTTTGCGATCCAGTATCACACAGAGCACGTATTTTCTTCTTTTTACCCTCATGTCATCATCATCATCATTACAGCCCTTCACAAGTCCACTGCTGAACATAGGCCTCCCCCAAAGAATGCCACAAAGCACGGTCCTGAGCCACCTGCATCCATCGACTTCCTGCAAATCTTACCAGGTCGTCACTCCATCTAGTGGGGGGACGCCCTACACTTCGCCTGCCGGTACGAGGCTGCCACTCGAGAACCTTTCTTCCCCATCGGTTGTCGGTTCTTCGAGCTATATGGCCGGCCCATTGCCACTTCAGCTTACTAATCCGTTGGGCTATACCCTCATGTGAAACCTCTAAAATCAAAGTCTGTAATAAAACATTTCCGCCTTTCCTAGAGAAAAGTGCTGTCGCTTCTTTGGGTTCCTTTTGTTTATCCCTATGAAGGTCCGGACAAAATATCACTACATGACGTTTACCGCAGGCCATACATTTTAAAAACGTCTTGCAGTGCTTAGCTACGTGACCTTTACGTAAACAAATTAAACAACCCCTCTTATCTTTGACAGCGGCTCTCTTTTCATCTAAAGACATTTTGAGCCCTTTATTACATTGAAGAATCGAATGAGACGTATTATCACAAAAATAGCAAAAGTCATTACCTGTTTTACTGGAACTTGTCTCCTCTTTCGAAACGATGCAAGCTGCTGTCGGCGGCATATCAACACCGCTGGAAGAACTATAAGTATTAAAGTTAGCGCGCGTCAATTTAATGTGTTCCTCAGCCTCGGCTTCTCGTTTTAAGAACTCTAAAAGTTGCGTTAATTGACCAACATCGTTTACAATTCTAGTTCGATTCCAAACAATTAAAATATTTTCAGGTAAAGCTGATTCACTAATGGATACAACATCGCTCCGTACTTTTCCGTTGTTACTTTGAGTGACTCTAAAGCGTGCAAATGGGTCATCAACTGGTCGTAAAGCGATCTTATATCCATATTTTGTCCCTTAGCCTGACATAATACGAGACCTAGAAGCTCTCTCACATACGTCTCGATGAGGATACCTTTTCGAGCAAAACGTCCCTGTAGCTGCTCCAGCGCTCTTGGATAATTCTTGCCAGACGGAGGGTAGCTAGTTACGAGCTCTCTGCTTTTGGAGCCCTCCTTCATAGCCTGTATGAGATACTGGAACTTATCTTCTGGTTCAAGAGTCTCGTCCTCGTGTATCTTTTTGAACTGTTCCCAGAAAGATAACCACGTCTTCGGATTGTCATCGAATTTTATGAGCTCGATATTCGGTATCTTTATGTTTCTCTTCTGATGAGATCCGTCAGTAGCCGCTGAAGATGTATTTGCTCTATCACATTCCTTTCGTAATTTTTCAATCTTAACTTTTACTGCATAATACTTCCTTAAATACGATTCGCATTCGTCACATTCTACATCAAATTGCTCATCCGTGCAAGAATCGATCGTCATATTTTTTATTTGACTGTCAAAAGATTTTAACTCTTCCAATTTCTCTACAAGATACTGAAATTCGACAGTCATCTGCTCAATATCATTCGACTCCTCTATCTCTCGAACTGACCTGATGAATACTCGACGTGTGTATGCCCTTTTACGCCTCATAGCGTCGAGTTCGGTTTGTCCAGGTCTATCCGCTTTCACGGTCGCCATTATGTGGGGAGTTTCTGTATGACCGTTGTATGTAGCTCCTCACATTGAAATAAGAAGATTTCTTAGACTTGAAACATTTAATCTTCTAACAAAAATATACTTATTACGAAAAACTAGTCTTACATTTTTCTTGTTATTTTTTCGTAACCATGACAACAACTTACAAGATATAAAAAAACCTAAAAGGGCCGTAGACAATATTTATTTATCCTCAACAGTGGATCATCTACATATCTGTACTGAGATATAGAACCTGTACCTAGCTTATCTGCGTATACTACATCAATAAGTGGTGTTGAAGTGAAACCAATAAAGAAGGAAAGATTGAAAACAATATTTAAAGAGAAGAATAATATACAAAGAAAAAAGTAAAAAAATGGACATGCTCAAACGAAAGTATAGGATCTCAAATAATTCAACATATATATTATATTCATATAAAACAAATTCTCTGCTACTTCAAAGTATATTAGCATTAAGTGATTTTCTTTCTATGCACTTTGGCAAAAAAATTGTTTTTCAAGATATTAAAGGATAGAGAGGAAATGTTTTGTAAAACAAACTTAAGGCTTTAACTAGCCTGAATGACCTTGACGAAACGGCGATCGCAGAGATTTTAGCCGACGTCAACACCGTCTAGCAACTACGTTCTGTATTACTTATAAAAGTGCAAAGATTAATAGATTGCAGAGATGACAATTATATAAGTGACATACTGCCTGTTGTGCTTGCGCATCACTGAGAATTATGTCGCGGTTCATCATCATTCATCATCATTACAGCCCTTCACAAGTCCACTGCTGAACATAGGCCTCCCCCAAAGAATACCACAAAGCACGGTCCTGAGCCACCTGCATCCATCGACTTCCTGCATGTCTTACCAGATTGTCACTCCATCTCGTGGGGGGACGCCCTACACTTCGCCTACCGGTACGAGGCTGCCACTCGAGAACCTTTCTTCCCCATCGGTTGTCGGTTCTTCGAGCTATATGGCCGGCCCACTGCCACTTCAGCTTACTAATCCGTTGGGCTATGTCGGCCACTCTGGTTCTACTGCGGATATCCTCATTCCTAAGTTTATCACGCAGAGAAACTCCGAGCATAGCCCTCTCCATAGCTCGCTGAGCGACCTTGAGCTTCCTCATACGGCCAGCAGTGAAGGACCACGTCTCAGTTCCGTAAGTCATCACTGGCAACACGCACTGGTTGTACAATTTCGTTTTAAGGTTTTGAGGTATGTCTGACGAGAAGATGTGTCGTAGCTTCCCTAACGCTGCCCAGCCGAGTTGAATCCGTCGATTGACCTCTCGGTCGAAGTTGGACTTACCTAGTCGGACTATTTGTCCCAGGTAAACATACTCGTCAACAACTTCGAGCTTAGTGCTCCCAACAACTACCGGCATAGGTGTGACATGGACATTAAACATGATCTTTGTTTTGTCCATGTTCATCTTAAGACCTATCCGTTGGGAAACACTATTGAGGTCATTGAGCATAGTGCTTAGGTCCTCCAGCGATTCTGCCATAAGGACTATATCGTCGGCAAATCGAAGGTGAGTGATGTACTCGCCATTGATGTTGATACCGTATCCTTTCCAGTCCAGAAGCTTGAAAACGTCTTCCAATGCAGCGGTGAAGAGTTTCGGGGATATGACGTCACCCAGTCTTACACCTCTCTGCAATTGGATAGGTTTCGTACTCTGGTTCTGTACTCGGATAGCCATCGTAGCCCTACTGTACAAGCACTTCAACACTTCAATATACCGACAGTCAACTTGGCACCGCTGAAGGGACTGCAGCACCGCCCAAATTTCGACGGAATCAAAGGCTTTCTCATAGTCTACATACGCCAGACATAGTGGCAAATTGTACTCTTCGGACTTCTGTACAACTTGCCGAAGGGTATGTATGTGGTCTATGGTGCTAAAGCCCTTTCGGAAACCGGCTTGTTCGGGAGGCTGGAAATCGTCAAGATGTCGCGGTTACTCATCTTCAATTTTTTTTTTTTTTATTCCTGTTTTTGATCCTTGTTGGGAATTTA